TACTTTATTGGTCCAGCTTTGGCAGCAATTACAGCCTCAAGGCTTTTTGAATATGATGCCACAAGCTTAGCACACCTATCTTTAAGCAGTTTTTCCAATTCTTCTTTGCAGTACTTCTCAAGTTCCTTCAGGTTGGATGGGAGACGTCTGTGCAGTCATTTTCCGATATCTCCAGAGATGTTCAATCGGACTCAAGTCTGGGCTCTGGCTTGACCACTCCAGGATATTCACAGAGTGGTCTTAAAGCCACTCCTTTGAGATCTTGGCCATGTGATTTGGGTCGCTGTCCTGCTGAAAAATGAACCGTCGCCCCAGTCTGAGGTCAAGAGCACTCTGGAGCAGGTTTTCATCCAGGATGTCACTGTACATTGCTGCATTCATCTTTCCTTCTATCCTGACTAGTCTGCCACTTCCTGCTGCTGAAACACATCCTCATAGCATGGTGCTGCCACCACCATGCTTTACTGTAGCGATGGTATTGACCAGGTGATGAGCGGTGCTTAGTTTCACCCAAACATGACGCTAGGCATTCACACCAAAATGTTCAATCTTTGTATTATCAGGCCAGAGAACTTTGTTTCTTATGGTCTGAGAGTCCTTCAGGTGCCTTTTGGCAAATTCCAGATGGGCGGCCATGTGCTTTTTATTAAAGAGTGGCTTTTTCTGGCCACTCTACTATACAGTCTTGATTGGTGGATTGCTGCAGAGATGGATGTCTTTCTGGAAGGTTCTCCTCTCACCACAGAGGAACGCTGGAGCTTGGACAGAGTGTCCATCGGGTTCTTGGTCACCTCCCTGAAAAAGGCCCTTCTCCCTCGATTGCTCAGTTTATACAGCCCGCCAACTCTAGGAAGAGTACTGGTGGTTCTAAACTTCTTCCATTTACGAATGATGGAGGCCACTGTGCTCATTGGGACCTTCAAAGCAGCAGAATTTTTTCTGTATCCTTCCCCAGATTTGTGCCTCAACACAATCCTGTCTCGGAGGTCTACAGACATTTCCTTTGCCTTCATACTTGGTGTTGGTACTCTGACATGCACTGTCAATCGTGGGACCTTCTATAGACAGGTGTGTGCCTTTCCAAATCAAGCACAATAAACTGAGTTCACCACAGGTGGACTCAATTTAAGTTGTAGAAACATCTCAAGGATGATAAGTGGAAACTGTATGTATCTGAGCTCAATTTTGAGTTTCATGGCAAAGGCTGTGAATACTTGCGTAAATGTGATTTTTTTTAGTTTTCTAATTTTTTTTAATACATTTGCAAAAATTTCAAATATTTTTTCACATTGTCATAATGGAATATTTTGTGTAAAATTTTGAGGAAAGAGATTAATACAATATGGAATAAGGCTCTAACATAACAAAATGTGAAAAAAGTGAAGCGCTGTGAATATTTTCCGTATGCACTGTTAGTTTGCTGCACCGAGAAGCTGTTTCTTGCCACCATCATAGACTACTTGGGCAAAATGTCTGGCTCTTTTTTCAGCAGCAAACTGACAAGTGAACAAAGCTCCATGAGCAAAGCCACAAAAGCTTCAGACAGCAGGGATCTGGGGTCAAATTGTATCTATAAAGTTAGTTTCATCATCAACCTTTGTGTGATTACAAAAATTCCATATGATGTCTGTGTCTCCTGCAGATGACCAGCAGCTATTTAAGGTCAAAGAAGAAGTTCCTCATCTATTCAGCTCCAGTCTGGACCAGCAGGAATCAAAACTTCTCCACATAAAGCAGGAAAAGGAGGAACTCTGGGGCAGTCTGGAAGGAGAGCCGTTTCCTGTGACGAGTGAAGATGATGAGCAACCTCAGTTATTCCAGCTTCATCAGATCAAAACTGAAGACAACAGAGAGACACAACCTTCAATCAGCAGCTCAGTTGAACAGCTGAAAATAGAACCTGATGGAGAAAACTGTGCAGGACCAGAGCCAGACAGGAACCAGGATCACTTACAGCCAAAAACTGATGAAAAGGCTTCAGACTCTGCAGACACTGAAGTCACTGGTGATGATGGTGCTTGGGGTGAAAGTATGTCAGATTGTGATGAAGACTGGAAGGAAACGAGAAGACCTGGATCAGGAATAAAAAGCAATGAGGGACATAAAGTTACCAAGAAATCCTTCAGCAGCCTGGAGTGTTGTGAACAGTTTGTTTACAAGCATTCTCTTCAGAAACACGTGACTTCTCATTCAGCTGAAAACTCTTCCAGTTTGTTTTTGAAGAAATGTTCTAGAAAGAAGCAAACTAGAGCCAATTCACGAGAGAAACGATTTGCTTGTGATGAGTGTGGAAAAAGGTTTTATGAAAAACAACAAATTGAATATCACATGAGACTCCACACAGGAGAGAAACCATATGCTTGTAATGAATGTGATAAAGCGTTTAGCAATTTACGTATCCTTAAGAACCACATGAAATATCACAAAGGAGAAAAACCATTTCATTGTGATGGCTGTGAGAAAACATTTAGCTCGCTGGGTAATCTTAAGCAACATATGTCACTTCATACAGGAGAAAAACCATTTGCTTGTTGTAGTTGTGATAAAAGTTTCAGACGTTGCCGTGACCTTGACGCTCACATGATGCGCCACAGGGGAGAGAAACCATTCATCTGCAGTGTTTGTGATGCAAGATTTTCACGAGAAGGAAATCTGAGCAAACATTTCAAAATCCACACAGGAGAGCGACCATTTAATTGTGACATATGTGATAAAAAATTTCTCAGAAAGGCAGATCTTAAGAAGCACATTCCAATTCACTTAAAATTTAGAAAAGTTTCCATTGGAATTAGACGCTTTGCTTGTGACGTCTGTGGAAAAGCATTTGTGCAGTCATCGCATCTTTCTGTGCATAAGGTTGTCCACACAGGAAAAAAAACATTTAGCTGCGATGTTTGCAGTGTGAGCTTTACACGGCGGGATTCTCTAAACAGACACAACATGAAATTACACAATAAATAAACCGCTCCATTCCAAGGTTTATTTAGAAATATTTATTGTCTACTAAAAATAAAGATGACATGTTTATTAAAGATTTTGTAGCTGCGTGTGCAACAGATATATTAAGAAAATAAAGTTGCACCTGATTTAGGCAGTTTTCAAAACCCAATTGTGTCTTAACAAAGAGCAGAACTTTAAAAGTAAATAAAGCCAAAGTGAGCAAAACAACAGATTAAAGAGGCTCAAATACAATAGTATTGCACTAAATTTAATGTAATGGATATGAAATACAGAGGGAATGTTAAGTTTATATTTCAAGAAACTAATTTACAAAAGGAAGGGCTGTGTCTTTGCCCTCATATAAGCCAAACATTTAAAGGGTTTTAATTTCCAAAAAGACTGGAAGGTTTTTTATTTATATTTGATTTACAAGTAAATTTGTGAGCATGTTAGGAATGCATTGAACATTATTTTGAACAGAAACACTTAAATATGTTAATCTAAAATATATATTTTTTCACATTTAATATATAAATTATTTTATTATCTATCAATGCACCACATGATAAGAGACTAGGTGAAAATTGTCAGAAATGTTAAAGACGTCATAATAAAGTGGAATTAAGATTTTTTCCCCCTCAAGATTTTTTGTTGGTTATTTTATCATGTAGTTTGAACTTGAATAAATATTTTCAGTTATTAAATGGAAATTTTTTTTTTTTAAATTTCTAACTGATATTTAAGTTCAATAAATGCAATTTTTCCACATTCAGTGAGTAATTATTTTCAATTATGGATTACAGTACTGGCAAATGTGATTATGTTTTCCATAATTCACTTAATTCAATTCAGTTTATTTATATAGCGCCAAGTCACAACTGAATTTGTCTCGGGGCACTGTACAAAAACATTCACATGTATAAAAAGCCAATTAGTAAAAGTTATCTATCTAAGGAAGCCAGCAGATTTTGTTGAATCTTCACTTTGTCACAGTTTTCCATCCTGAACAAGCACAAAGGAGACAGTGGAAAGGAAAACCTCCTTTTTAACTGAAAGAAACCTCCAGCAGTACCAGGCTCAGGACGAATGGCCATCTGTTTCGACTAGCTGGGGTTTGAGAGGATAGGAAGGAGAAACAAGCAAACAGAATGACAGGTCAAGGTGTACTTTCTATTGATAGGAAGAAAAAACATTTTAAGGACTGAAATAAGTACAAACAGGTGGAGTAGAGCAAGTAAAAACAGCAGCAGAGTGAGGAAATGTGGTCAGTTTGTCCCTTTTCCATTAGTACCGGTACGGGCCAACTGGACCCTACTTGGCCCGGTTCTGAGGCTTTTCCATTAGTACCGGTACTTAGCACCTGTTACTATTTTCAGTACCCTTGGCTCTGTGGTTCTAACCCGAATGACAAGGTACTAAAACGTGACGTCAGAACACTGTCGGTCACTGATTAGTCGGGGGCGGAGTCGGAGTCCTTAAATAGCTCAGGAAGGAAATTTAGGACATTTTTCAGAATTGTCTTCTGAATTTCCCTAGCATTAGCTCTGTTAGCATCGCTCTTACAGCAGTCTCATTAAAATTTCCTAGATGTTAACTACTGCCTACCTTTGGCTCCAACTATGCTAATCCAACATGTTCTATGACTGATGTTTGTTTCTTGTTGTCGGCTAAAAGCACCTTAATAGAAACCCTTGGCCAGTTTGTAAACCAGGTAAATCTCTGTAGAAAATCCTGCTCTAGCCTTACACTATTTTTTTTTCCTCTGACATTATTTAAACCTGACAGACACAAGCCGAGTCTTCTTCACTTCATAAAAAAATAATGAAGCCGCATCAAAGGTGTTTTTCATGCAAGTAAGCTGCTGAATAGGAAAAAGGTCATAGTTTTGAGTGTTACTTCAGTTGTTCTGGTCATCAGCCTTTCTATTAATCAGTTTTTGATCTTATTACCTGAATTGAATAATTACCTGAAAGAGATGCTGTTTCTGATCAACATGTCACCTGTGATACATGTGTAAACACAAAGCCTTTATCCATTCAAATGGTTTCTGTGTGTTTCAGCATTACCTGCAGATGTTCTGCAGGTGGTGATTAAAGAAGAGGTTCCTTTTGAGTGGAGTTCCAGTCTGGATCAGCAGGACCCAGAACCTTTCCACATAAATAAGGACGAGGACAACCTGTGGAGCTGTCAGGATGAAGAGCACCTTCATGTGCAGGACATCACCAGGTTCCCGTACAACAAATACGATGAAGATAAAATGGAGTCCTCACAGTTTTATCAAATCAAAACTGAAGACAATGAAGAGAACGAACCTTCAACCAGCAGAATAATAGAATACATCAAAACAGAAACTGATGAGGAGGACTACGTAGAACCAGAACTAGGCAGAAAACCAGATCTGAGTATTAACTTGAAACACATAATTTATGAAAAAACTTCAGTTGAAATCAGTAATGGGGAATGGCAGGAACCTATGTCAGATTCCGGACCTGAAACTGAATTTATTCTAGATTCTGAGAAAACAGTCCCCACCAGAGCAAAGCCATTTCACTGTGATCTTTGTGGGAAAGGTTTCAGGCGTCGATATCTGCTCACAAAACATGCAACGGTTCACACGAGAGAGAAACCGTATGTTTGTGGGTTTTGCAGTAAAAGATTTTCACAACAAGGTAATTTACAGAGACACATGAGTTTTCACACAGGAGAGAACCCCTTTGGTTGTGATGTTTGTGGCTATAGATTTAACAAAGAAATGGATCTTACAAAACACATGCGGGTCCATACGACGGAGTATCCATGTGAGATTTGTGGTAAATGTTTAAAGTATCCAAGCGACCTTACGAAGCACATGAAAGTTCATACGGTAGAAGCAACTTTTCATTGTGATGTTTGCGGTAAAAGCTTCAAATATAAATCTAATCTCCGAAAACACACGAGAGTTCACACGGGAGAGGCACCATTTCAGTGTGAAGTTTGTGGGAAAAGCTTTAAATATAAGTGTGATCTCAGAAAACATACAGGAGTTCATACTGGAGAGACACCATTTCAGTGTGATGTTTGTAAGAAAAGGTTTAGGTGTCAGTATAATCTTAAAAAGCATCAAAGTCTCCACACACAAGGACAAACAACCGGGAAGTGAAGATGTAAAAAAATAAAAAGTTTAACAGTGAAGACATGATGGTTCAAACTGCAGGGAATCAAATTCATGTTTCAACACGCATGAAGAGTCCAAACATGGGAGAGACCATTTATTTATCTAGAAATTCTGAAAACCCACGAGATAGATTACACTGAACAGGAACAGGAAGTGAACATATATGGATACTTAGAATTGCGTTGTAAAATGTTTTAACCAGCACTGATAGATCACCTTGCAGCGGCAGCTTTAGGCTGTTTGACAGCGCTTCACCTGTATAGACAACAGCAGATGTCTTTTAGTCTTAGAAATCAGAAACAGAATTAGCTAAATTTAATGTTTGGCATTGTGGGTAACCACATATGAAAAAGGCCTGGAGTGGATTAGGAAAATATTGGATTTGGCACGTTCAGACTGTCATTACAAAATCAGATTTGAGCCGCTTTTCCTTTCAGTGTGAACATAGCCGAAGATATATCCTGATGCATGCTCATTAATCCAGGTAGAAAAATTTAAAAAAGTTAGCCGAAAGTAGCCGAAGAGAGTTTGATGTAAGATAATGTATTTAAGTTTTTTTTTTTTGGTGTTAAGTTTTAAATAATTTTAGTAACCATTTCATCCTAGTGTTAGCTTTTGCTTTGGTTACCTTGGTTGAAGAGCTGAAGAGGAAAATGTGGCTGACCGGCAGCAGAGACACGATGAAAATATCCGCTTCAAGTTAAATCAAACTAAATTCATCACTTAATGTTTACCTGTCATTTTTTTATGAAACTTCATAAATGACATCAGTGACAGAATAAAAAAAAATCTTCTGGATCATTTTTTGTCACAAAATGTATTTTCAGGATATGTTTATATGTTTAAAGTAAAACTACTTATTTATTTATTCATTGGTGCAAATTGTTTTTTTATTTTTATTCCCATCATTCTTCCATTTAAAGGTTTTTCTTGTTTACAGCAAAAAGTTTTTCAAACTGAACAACAAAAAGTGTCATTTAAACATATAATGTTTGATAATATTAGTAATAATTTAGTGTTCACTGTAGTTGTTGTATGTGAACTTGAAAGTTATCTCTTGAGAACGATTACCTGTAAAAATAAAGGTGTAATTAAAAAAAGTATAGCGTCTGCCCCACACGTCTGTTGTAACAGCAGCAGTCTGAACTGCAGAGGTTCACAGCTCTAGGCAGTTTAATCTGAATTAACATCTTGTCATTTCAAGCGGTTCTGCAGGTTCTGTCAGCTGTCCTATTCAGATGGGGAGAATGAAGAGCTGAATCATGTCTAATGGCATTTTTACTGACCATTGACTACCCTGTACATTGGATTTTTCCATAAGCTGCAACATCAGCAGTGAACTTCTCTGTACCTTTAGCAGTATCACTCAGCTTTCATAAAATAAGATGACTCCAGAATAAGGTATATCTAAAATCATCTTTAGCTGCTGCTTCTATAGGTCCAGCCAAACCAAATGAGCAAATTTAGCCTGCATGCACATTTCATGTTTCAGTTTTAACTTTACCTTTAATTTTCATTCCATCTGTAACACTCACAACTTTAACATCATTATGACTACAGGGGGCTAAAATGCCATGTTTGAATGTCATAACATGCATTATGTTCATCCATTTAGTCTATAACTATTTAGAACGGTCTGTCATAAATATGGATACCAAAAGCCGTACCATTTTTATGGAAGTCCTTCTGTCCGTCTTTGAAAATGACTGTCGCTCCTTGAGCAACAGCAGTTTTGACCAAAAAGATGTCCTGTGAAAATGATGGCACATATAGTGCGTCCATCAGTATTATCTCCACAGCTATCTTAAAGCAGCTGTGGCTGAGTGGTTATATCAGTCGTCCTCCGGTGGGAGAGTTGGGGGTTCGATTCCACCAGCAGTCACATGTTGAAGTGTCCCTGGACAAGACACTGAACCCCTCATTGCCTCCGATGTGTCCCATCAGTGAATGAATGTGACAAAGCTCTGATTATTCTCTTTAGAATGATTTGTTCACATGATCTGTGCAGAGATGTAGTAGAGTGCTGTATGAATGTGTGGAGGTAAATGAGGCACAGATTGTTGTAAAGAGCTGTGAGTATCTTGACTAGAAATAAAGGCACTGTATAAGTACAGTCCATTTACCGTTTACAACTCGGCCCTTGCTGTCTCTCAGGTGAACATTGGTAGTAGAGTTGCATTCGGACCCAAAAAAATCTGCTCCGACCCGGCCCCAGCCCGCAGTCATCATTTCCGAAACCCCACCTGACCCGACGAATTAACAGTAATTCACAGATCCGAACCCGGACCCCCCCCCCCCCCTTTTTTTAAAAATGAGTTATTAACGGTCGGGGCTGAATAAAAGGGGCAGAAGATCGGAGCTGAGGGGGTGTTTGTAATTTCATGGCTGTAAAAGAGCATTAAACCCTGTTTCTGCTGCATTCTGCATTATTCAGACATGGACCCTGCTCTGACATGTCTGCTTTGAGATCTCACCTGTTTGGGTCGTCGGCCGCGCACGTCCGCTGAGTGCAGCGGCTGAATGAACGTCCATTTGGGCGATGGATCGCTGCCTGCAGTGCAGTCCCATCTGAAGCTTAACTGAACTTTTTACTCTTTCAAGGCCGATCAGCTCACGGAGAAATAGCCACGTGCGGCTGCTGATTGTATGGCAGGCCATGTTATCATATAATTGGAATGCGGCTGATCCTCACCTAATTAAAAGCCTGAACCGACCTGACCCACCCATCCAGCACATTATCATAGACCGGCCTGCCCCAAATTCGGGTCGGGTGGGGCCAGGCTTAGGGCTCGGGTTAGAAATGACAGCTCTAATTGGCAGTGCCCTTCTTCAGCGCAATGCTGCTGCCCTCAGCCAACTCCAAAACATGGCTCTGAGCTTACAACTCGTGTCGAAAGCCTTGAGTTTTGCAGCATCTGTGACAATGTGCTTTCTGCTTTCCTTGTCTTGCCTTCTCCGCCAGCAGTTTATGTCCTTGTTCGTGGTGTTCTTACAGGAACTACACCACTGTCTTGGCTCTGCGCTCGCCCAGGACTGAAGTGCACTCCAGAGCTTTGTGTCTCGTCTGGCCTCAGTAACAGGTGAGTTTTGTTCTCCAATCATCTCTTCCTTTCACTTTCATCACGCTGTCTTCAGTTGAACTAACAGCACTAAACTCTCAGCTTCGTTTTAAACTTGGCAAAGGTTAACTTCTCATCACTTTGTGTAACATGAACAGAAAATGGTTCAAACCCCTCAGGCAGAGCTTTCTCCCGCATTACAGTGCATCCGTACAGTTTTCACAGTTCTTCCCTTTTCCCACATTCTGTTGTTGCAGGCTTGTTTCAAATTGAATGAAATACATCACTTTCCTCAAAATTCTACGTACAAGACTCCATTATGACAATAAGAAAAAAGACTGAGGTTTTTACATATTTAATACAAATAGAAAACTAAGAATTCACATTTACATAAATATTCACAGCCTTGGAGACACAGCAGAAAATCTGACGTTAGATGAACAATTAGTTCTGATGTCGAATGTTGAAGTAAAATAACTCACTGAGTCTGTTTTACGTGATTATTTAATTTATATTCTGTCAAAGTTTCTCTCCTTTCTGTGCCACTTGTGTATTTTTAACGATCATCGTACCAAATCATCCTTTAAATCATCCCCATCGTCCTGTAGAGCAGAAAGCTCCATCACATCTCGATGATCTTTCTGCCACTTTTCACTCCTAGAAATCAGTTTTTATCTTCAGAAAAGTTTCCAGCTTCTCCTTTAGAGTGACAGCAGAGCTCAGCATGAGGAGGAAGAGGAGGATTTGGAGACGGATAAAAAAACAAAACGAGGGATTGTAGATGGAGTGCCAAATTGCTAAATGTTCTGTTACAATAATGAGCCTAAAACAGTGTTGTGTACAAGGACGAGAACTGTTCATGCAACAAGCAAACAACTCATTTACATCAATATTATACAAGAAAGGTAAAAAATAAAATAAAAACTGAAGTGAAAATGAGCAAATACAAAGAGTTACTGCAAGAGTGGAAAAAAGATCAAATGTTAAAGTTCATGCTCAATCATCCAGGTGTCAAATCCAATAATTCTCAGTCGGGTCATCTGGACAGTTTCTCTTTTATAGAGACGTTTCGCCCTCTATCCAGAGGGCTTCATCAGTCTGAGGAGTTCCAGTAAACTGTTTCCCCACCAAGCAGTAAACTCTTTAAGTGGACCAACCAGTTTGCTGGAGCTAAGATGGTTTCTGGGGCCCGTCCTGTCCCTCGTCGACTCCTCCCAGGCAGCCGCAAGGCACTTTGGCTGTGGCTGCCTGGGAGGAGACGACGAGGATGGAGGGCGAAACGTCTCTATAAAAAGAAACTGTCCAGATGACCCGACTGAGAATTATTGGATCAAATGTTAAGTTGTGATAAAATTCAGTTTTTAACATTTAAAAGCACTTCACTGTAACTACAGTTGTGTGGCGAATGTAAAAGACACAAATTTATTAATCTGATGCACCATCTTACACATTTAATTATTTTAAAGAGTTTGAACTTTTCCCGTGAAGTTAAAGGTGCAAACAGAGGAACATGTTTGTCCAACAGAAAGTTGACAAACTGCTCTCTGCAGACTCAGGATTAGACGATGGAAGACGCTTAAAGAGGCGCCGAGTCCCACCGACCCCTCATGACTTAAAGTCTCTGAGGAGGACGGAGAAGACCAAAGAGAAGAAAGGAGCAGATCTACTGAAGGACGTCATGAGAAATAAATAAATGGATCCTAAACTCAAGCAGATGTTCTGTGAGCTGCACGCAGGAGAAAAGTCCACAGTTAAAGAACTGAAAAATGAGTTTTCAGGTCGGGGCGGAGCCTGAGGCAGGTGTTTTGATCAGGGGCGGAGCCTGAGACAGGTGTTTTGATCAAGGGCGGAGCCTGAGGCAGGTGTTTTAATCAGGGGCGGAGCCTGAGGCAGGTGTTTTAATCAGGGGCGGAGCCTGAGGCAGGTGTTTTAATCAGGGGCGGAGCCTGAGGCAATTGTTTTGATCAGGGAGGAGCCTGAGGCAGGTGTTTTGATCAGGGGTGGGGCCAGAGGCAGGTGTTTTGATCAGGGGCGGAGTCTGAGGCCGGTGTTTTGATCAGGGGCGGAGCCTGAGACAGGCGTTTTGATCAAGGGCGGAGCCTGAGGCAGATGGTTTGATCGGGGCGGAGCCGAGACACGTGTTTTGATCAGTGGCGGAGCCTGAGACAGGTGTTCTGATCAGGGGCGGAGCCTGAAGCAGGTGTTTTGATCAGGGTCGGAGCCAGAGGCAGGTGTTTTGATCAGGAGCGGAGCCTGAGGCAGATGTTTTGATCAGGGGCGGAGCCTGAGGCAGGTGTTTTGATCAGGGGCGGAGCCCAAGACAGGTGTTTTGATCAG